CCTTCCGGGTGAAGTTGCCCAGTAGGTCACGGCTGTCCCTTAACTGGAGGTCAGGCCAAAGTGCAGGTCACCATCTTCTAACCTGCTAGTGTCAGAGTTACTCTGTCTCACACGCAGAAAGATCAGTGAGCACGTGGGCAGGGGTCCTGCTGCCTGACAGCTTCCGTACGTGCAGAAAACATAAACTCTACCCCAGACAAGCAGTCGTGGTCACCAGAGGCATGGTCTGTGGCTTCATCAGTCCCCTGAACACTGAAGTGCTAACACTGAATTCTCTCCTTCTTGGTTGGGGCATCGACATCTGGGCTGTGGCGGCAAAGAGGAGACAAGCTAGGACTTATTTTTGCTGATCCCTACAGGATTTTATTTTTTAATTTAAATTCAATTATCCAACGTATAGTACCTCACTAATTTCAAATGTAGCATTCAACAACCCATCAGTTGCACACAACACCCAGGGCTCATCACATCACTGCCCTCCTTCATGCCCATCACCCGGTACCCCATCCCTCCACCCCCAAACCCCTCCAGCAGCCCTTAGTTTGTTTCCCGGAGTCCAGAGTCTCTCATGGTTTGTCTCCCTCTCTGATTTCTTCCCATTCAGCTTTCCCTCCCTTCCCCTGTGGTCCTCTACACTATTCCTATGTTCCACGTATGAGTGAAACCATATGATAATTGTCTTTCTCTGACTGACTGACTTCACTCATCATAATCCCCTCCAGTACCATCCACATCAATGTAAATGGGAAGATTTCATCCCTTCTGATGGCTGAATAGTATTCCATTGTATGTATGAACCACATCTTTATCCACTCATTCCATACAGCGTTTTAATGAAGCAAATGTACCTTCAGTTAGAACGAATAAAGCGCCTCTGGTTTAAACGATACACGGTTTCGTAAGAGAAAGGGTGACCCCATGTGGCAGTTTTAAAACACGACCGTAAATTTTCCGCATTTCTTGCATCAAGGTGGCATGTAGGTACCCTCATCTTTAGTCTGGTGGGGTTGTGGTTGCTTTGATCAGTGACTACAGCAGGAATGATGTTACATGACTTCTGAGGCTAGACGCCAAAGGCTATGTAGTTTCTCCTGGCTCGTGGGATCCCTCTTCAATCCCGGAGCCTCCAGGTATGAAGTCCTACCACCTTACCATCCGCAAGCTGGAGAGACTGTGTGTTTATGATATAACCAGCAGTCCCTGCTGAGCCCAGATCTCCAGCCACCTGTAACAAGGTGACAGATAAGGGAGTGAAGCCATCTCAGACCCTCTGAACCCGTCCATCTGCCCCATGAAGCAAAAGAATCACCCTGTGGAGAACTGCCCAAATTCTTGACCCACAAAATCATGGGACTTAATAAAATGTTGTTGCAAGGCACTATTTAGTGCAGTGATAGATTACTGAAACACCCCTTATGTTAGTTCGGGTCCTCCAAAAAGCAGATGCCAAGATGTGATTAGACACACAAGAGATTTATTGTTGGGTATCCTTCCTGTGCCTAGCAGGGATAAAGGGAGACTGGAGCAGGTCGGGGGAGCCTTCAGACCATGATGCGGGTCTGGAGTCTGTGAAGTCTTAGGTTATATCAAAGTTCTAAGACAGTCTCATCCAGGCTGGTGGGGAGTCCCAAGCCTGTTAGGGAGGTCCTATTTGTCCAGAATACTGGATGGTCAAACTGGAGTTTTGGATTTGCACATGATCTGTGGTACGCTAGAAATTGTAGACTGGACCTCAGAAAATCAACACGTTGCTCAGTCCTTTACAGCAGCACTTAACATGGTGTATTACAATGATTTCTGGAATATCTTCTTCATTCTTCAGACTTTGAGGTTCTTCAAGGTTCGTGCTATGTGTTTTTCACCTTTGCATGCTGCTTCTCTTCCGAAGTTCCTGACTCAGTGAATGTTTGTTGAATGGTTAACTGAGAATAATGATCAAACTATGTTTTGTGTGTAATTATAGGAATAATTCTTTGACCACATATATGAGGGTTTATTCTGGACTCTATTCTATTCCACTGGCCTCTGTATCTCTCTTTACACCAATACCATCTTTTTTTTTTTTAAATGATTTTATTTATTTATTTGAGAGAGAGAGCATGAGCAGGGGAGAGGAGCAGAGAGAGAGGGACAAGCAGACTCCTCGCTGAGCAGTGAGGCCAGTGAGGACCCTGGGATCATGACCTGAGCCAAAGACAGACACTTAACTGACTGAGCCCCTCAAGCGCCCCAGCACCATCCAGTTTTGATTAGTGTAGCTTTGTAGTAAGTTTTGAAATCAGGAAGTGTGAATTTTGCTGCTTTGTTCTTTTTCAGAATTGTTTTTGCTCTTCAGGGTCCTCTGAGATTCCATATGAATTTTAGCATAAGTTCTTGTCTTTTGCATTAAAACTGTAGATCACTTTGGGTAGTATTGACAATTTAACAATATTAAGTCCTCCAGTCCACAAACATGAGATTTTCCCACTAGTTTATCTTCTTTGATTTCTTTCACCTCCTTCCTTAATTCCTAAGTATTTTATTCTTTTTGATACAGTTGTTAATGGCATTGTTTGCTTAATTTCCTTTTCAGATTGTTCATTGTTAGTATATAAAAAAGCAACCGATTTTTGCTTGTTGACTTTGTATCCTGCTACTTTGCTGAATTTATTAGTTCTAACAGGTGTGTGTGTGAGTGTGTGTGTGTGTGTGTGTGTGTGTGGTGTAATCGTTAGGGTTTTCTGTATATAAGATCTTATCCTCGTGAACAGAGATAATTTTACTTCCTTTTCATTTTGGATGTCTTTGATTTTTATCTAATTGCTTTGCTTACGACTTCCAGTACGATGTTGGGTGCAAGTGGTAAAAGCAGGCATCCTTGTCTTGTTCCTGATCTTAGAGGAAAAGATTTAAGTCTTTCACCACTGAGCATGATGTTTATTGTGGGTTTTTTATGTTTTTATTATGTTGTTGGAGTTTCCTTCAGTTCCTAGTGTGCCCAGTGTTGTTTTTTTTTTTTACCATAAAAGGGTTTGAATTTTGTCAAATGCTTTCCTGCATGAATTAAGATGATTATGCGGGTTTTCCCTTCTTTTTGTTAACGTGGTGTATTACATCAATCGATTTTCACCTTGTTGCAACATCTTTGCATTCCAGGAATAAATCTTACTTGCATGGTGCATAATCCTTTTCCTATGCTGCTGAATTTGGTTTGCTAGTACTTTGTTGAGAATTTCTGCACCAAATTCATGGGGACTATTGGTCTGTGGTTTTCTTTTCTTGTAGTGTCTTTGTCTAGCTTTGATATAAGGGTAATGTTAGCCTTGTAGAATAAGGGAGTGTTCCTTCCTGTTCAATTTTTTGGAAAAGTTTGGGAAGAATTGGTGTCAGTTCTCCTTTAAGTGTTTGGTGGCATTCACTGGTGAAGACTTCAGTCCTGGCTTTGCTTTGTCAGGAGATTCTTGATTCCTGATTTAATCTCCTTACTAGTTATGGGTCTATTTAGATTTTCTATTTCTTCATGACTTAATCTTGGCAGGTTTGGTGTTTCTAGGAATTTGTCCATTGAGTCTATGTTAGCCAATTTGTTGGCATATAATTGCTCACAGTGCTCTCTTATTTGTTAATTTTATTTCTGTAGAATCAGTAGTAATGCCCCCACTTTCAGAGCCAATTTTAGTGAGTTGAGCCTTCTCTCTTTTTTCCTTAGTCCATCTAGCTAAAGGTTTGTCAATTTTTTTGACTTAAAAAAACTCCAGATTGTAATTTAATGTTTAATTTATAAGGTTATTTTTCTAAAATTAGGACTTTGTTTTTCAGGGAAGTTTTAAGTTCACAGCAAAGTCGAGGGGAAGGTACGGACGTTTTCCACAGACCCCCAACCCTTCACACCCAGAGCCTCCTTCCTTATCGGCATTCCCACCACCGTCCGCCTGGTGCTGTCCCAGAGGCACGTTAGGTTCTGTTCACTTTCCTGTGATCCTTTTCCCTTTTCCCCCTAAGCTTTGATAATTTCCACTGCCCTATGTTCAAGTTCGCTGATTCTTTCTTCTACAGAGAGTGCTTCTCCCACGGAAACTCATTAGTGAGTGTCTCGCTGCAGAGAGCGCTGTGTGGACGTTAGGAAAATGAGTTTCTGGGAGAAGTGAGAAGGAATGGAGTGTAGACGTGGGGATAGGGGTTGGGGCCGGGGGAGGCGGGCGGCCAGTGAGAAATCTGTGATCCTGGGGGAGGGAAGGGTTGGAGGGATGGGGATAATGTCCAGTTTCACGGTCCTGGTGCACCGTGCAATCCCACTGCTGAGGCAGGTCTTCAGCAGTGTCCGCGGGGTCCCGGAAGCCTTGCGGGATGGGCTCAGAGAAAATGAAAGAGAAGAGGTGGGACTGACGTCCGGGTTGGCCCTGGGCTGAGGACAGGGGACCCACGACGGCCGGGTCAGGGGAGAACCAGTGACATCGGGTCCGGGGTAGGACTCAGCCACAAGTGACTGTGGGAATGTAAAATCTGGGGAATTCACATGCCTGTTGTGGGAAGAACTGGACTTCCCAGAATACTCAGAGTGAGAGCCTGGCCAGGAGGAAAAGGGGAACTTGGGCACCTTTGAGTTGCGCCGATGGAGAGCTCCCTCCTTGCCCGCCCGGTGACAGGGCAGGTTCAGCTGAAGACCCGAAGTGATGCGGGGCTTTTGTTTGTTTGATCTTTGATTTCACTGTAGAGCATGTCTTCTCTGACACAGGAACAGTACTTCCCGATGGAAACCCTTTCGCCATGGAGTAAAAACTTTATTTATCTGTGTCTTTAACATTTATTGCCATTTACCCAGTGCAAGCTGCTTGAGGAAAGTCATCGATGAAGGAGACCCTCATGCTTTCCCCAGGAGAGCGAGACAGGTGAAAACCAGCCAAGATGCAAGGGAGGATGGACAAGGTGCTAAATGGAGCTCAGGGACCGTGAGCATTAACTCTGGCTGGGGAGCAACCCCACAGAGTCCACTGAATGGATGTGTGCTCTTCCCCACGCTCCTAATTCTTTCTCGAATTACTTTTCTCTCCTGTTAAGACAGAAAATAAGAACACATGACATGGGATACAACACTTAAAACCCATCCTAAGATGTTGCAGTCAGTACAATCTGTCATCCACCCAGCCCACTTTTCTGTGCCTGGAGCAAATGTTCTGAAGACCACCCTCCAGAGGCGAAGAGGGTGGTGTTGGATGGAGTGCAGGCCGGGGGCAGATGTCTTTGCATCTCGGTCTCTGCATCTATCAGCCGCGCCATCCTGGGTAAGGTAGTACTCAGCCTCTCTCAACGAGAGATCCCCCACGTGGAAGATGAGGAGAACAGCCACTCACTGGATTGTCGCATTAAGTGAGCGAAAGCATGTGAAATGCTGGGTGCACTAAGTGCGAGACGCATTGTAGCTATTATTTGTATTATTCTGGGAAGAACATCCATGAGTTTAATCAGACTCTTTTGAATGTATACTTTCTGTTCATATGGCGACTTCTTGGATGAATGAACTCACTAAATTTAGAACCTATTTAATTAAGTCTTGCTTTCATTTGTCCAGAAGTTACCTCTGTCCAGCTTTGACTGGGGCGCCTCATTGTCTAATACTTAAGAATTCAATGCCTTGGTCTGTCTGCTTCATGTGATATCTAGTCCATCCCTTTTTGGGTCCCTTTCTCATTTCCTTAGGGTTCTGGGACAGTGATACCTGCCATGGAGTATTCTACGAGTGCCGCAGATTTATGTAAGGGGAGGCACTGTTTTCTGTTCTGTTGGTGATAACTTTACCGACAATTGCCAGTGTTTCATGAACTTTTTGGCAACAGCAACAATTTGAGTCAGAACTTTAAGGCACAGTTACGTGGTATTCTCCAGAACGTGTTCTCTGAGATGCTATTCTGCGAGGGCTCAGTTGGCGTTCCATAAAGAGGGTTAAAATCTAGGGAGTGCGGGGTTAACTGGAGTGGCAGATGCATCTCAAGTACAACAGATGCTGTTTCTTGACCTTGTTTTTCCATAGCTTTCTTTTTTGGGAGTTGTAGGACTATTCAATGTTCTGGGAACACAGTTTAGGAAATGCCATCGATAGTAAATTCTAGGTTCGACTGATGTCTTAAATCCATCTTATTCCAGGAATGATCTTCTACTGAGGGCATCGCCCTGTCATTTGGAAGCACTTTCATTGCTCTTGTGATCATTCAGACTCTTCAGCAGCTAGGGAGGGAGGAGCTTTGTTCCTCAGCCCATCCCCCCAGAGGGACACTCTCTAAAGTGTCTGAACTGAGCAAGAAAGAACAGTGAGCGGCGTACCTCAGTCGTGTCATTTTCCTGATGTCACCGAATGATACTGCATTACTGAAAACTTAAAATCAACATCCTCGCCATATAAAGTAGCCTGGGGACATTTTGAGGATCTAGGGTCTCAAATTCCTGCCCGCAGTGGGCTTTTAGGTATAACTTCCAGTGTGTTTCCCAAGTGGATGCCTATTTCCCGGTCTTTCCTCTCAGGTGCGCCCACCCAGAGGAGACAATGTGAAATCATAAATATTACCGTATAACTTCTGGATTCCTTCGATATCATCTGGTGAAAGTTTGAAGTCCTTGGAGTCTGTGACTCTGTAGGTTGGATACATCACGGCATTGGGATCAGACGAGTGACCCAGGCCCAAAGAATGACCAAGTTCGTGGGTCGCAGTGATGAGGAAGTTAACTCCTACAACCCAAGAGTGATATACAGGAACTCTAAAAGCAGCTCTGTGAACAACGTCGTACACAGCATGCAATAAAAAATAAGCGAACTGCCAAGTATACACACCTCCTCAGAGCCTTTGCAGCTCACTTACTTGTGTCTAGGCCTTCACGAGTGGAGGGCTGAGAAGGAGAATCAAAGGAGTGGCGCTCTAACGTCATCACCCCTTCTGTGTTTACAAAAATGTGCTGTTTTTCTTATGTAATCACCCAGACAGCAGTCTTCCGGAGTGGAAAGCAAAGGCTTCAGGGGCATTAGGGACCCAGGCTCGAGACCCGGCTCTGCTGCTCACCAGCTGGACACTTTGGACACACGAACTGACCTCCCCGAGCCTCAGGTCCTCGTCTGTTCAACAGAGAATCACTCCCACTGGGTAGGTTTGTCATACTCCTGAGAGTTTCCCACTGTCTGGAAAATAGTGGCCATTCACCGACAGGACTTTGAGCATCAGGAGAGAGGAAGCTGGCTTTGACGAAGCCAGGACTGTAATGCTGGGCTTGGCTCCTGATTTACGGAGCCATCTTCCCTCGAACTCACAGACAGGCTTTGCCAGTAAGGCGGGACGCGCGAGCCTGGGGGTTGGCGGAGGGGCCAGCGCTGTGATGGTGGGTGGGGACTGGAGATGCTCCGTGAGCCCACCCCGAGCAGGAAGGAAGGGGGTGAGCAAGACCCGCAGGATGTGGAAGCGAGCCTGTGTCACCACCTCACCAAGGCTGGAGTTGACAGCCAGGCGTCGCCTTGGTGGTGGATTTCCATCACCAAACACTAGTACAGATCTCCCTCTCAGGGACAGTGGGCAGCTACATTGTTTTATTTAATTAATTTAGTGTTAGAATCGTCTGCACTTGGTATTATTTATACCAGAGCTTTCCTCCATTAGTTTTCTGGGGTGTGTCTGTAATCTCCCACTTTGTAAGGTGACAAATACGATGGGCTGGCTTCCTTTTGAACAATAGAGAATGATCTCAGAATTGTACACAATTCTTAAATATCATAGTCTCTGCTCCTCCTTTTCCTCCGATTAAAAAAAAAAAACTAACTTTTGGGAAATAGAAAGAACTCTAATTTGTCGAATGACTAAGCTATCCCAACACCGTGTAAAGCACTGTAGAAACATTATCTCATTTACTTCCAACCACAATCCTAGGAGGTGGGGCTTATAGTCCCACTTCAGAGATGGGAACTGGCTCAGAGAAGTCCATAACTTGACTAAAGATGCGTGGCGAGTGGCTGGTTGAACCCAGTGTGGTTTGAACCCATGGCCTCCTCCCATCCTCTGTCTGCACAGCCTTGTGAGCACGTGGAAGGAAATAAAGCACTTGAGGCATGCAGTCATTGGCAGTTAACGATGGGTCAGTAATTACCATTAACTAAGGCAATTATCAAACTCACGTTGGTATAGGGAGTTCAGATTTCTAAAAACAACACGCAGCAGAAGAGCGAGGGGGCCCTATACCTATCCTGCTACCGTCCGTCCAGTGCTCGTCCTCATCAAAGTGAGCGTCTCCTCCTAGGCCCGGCCCAGGGGCAAAGGCGTGAGCCAGGGTGTTTCCTGGTCCGTCAAAGGGGTAGTAGTCCCCGTGAGCTGAAAGAAAACAGGGGGGTTTGCCCTTAGTGTGTGAGTCGGTCTCTGGCCATCTGATCCTATGGTTTACGTAATTACAGAGGCTGCAAAGACCAGGCCGGCGTGGGCACTCAGCGTGTGGCGCTGGTCCCAGGCAGGTTTTCTCAGCACTGCTCACCACCAGAGATTGAAGGCTTCCTGAATATGGGACTTTAAATGCACCACATCTAACTTCCAGGGGCATCGAGGCGTTAAATCTGATCGCTGTGCTTGGCTGAATGGTGGCAGGATGGAGAGGGAGTGGCTTACTGCACTCAGCAAGATACTTGTGCACCATTTAGGATAATTTTTCATGAAAACCTGGCCTATTCTTTGCGGGTAGAATAGACAATGTCTTGGAGAACCAGGCACAGAGTGTCACAGTGAATTTTGTTAGCGCTTTTATTTGTGATGCAGAGATATTTATTCTTGAATTGGTATCAGGCTGTACCCATTTGAATCCAATGGATTCGATCCATTTCTTGAGAGACATGGACTGCCATGATCAGTGCTTTCTGTGACACGTTCTTTGGCGTTGTCAGTATTGGGGCCAAAATTCAAAATTCAGCTTAGTTCACAGCACCTGGGCAGTTCAACATTAGAACAGACCGAAAAGAACTACATTTTTCTTTAGATCTGCACCATAAAATGCTAGCAATTAATAGCAGCCCCTGTATATGGGTTCTATCTCCTTAAATCCTGAATCTGAACGCTCTCAGTTTCTCCTTTCTTACCCCATTGAGGGGGTTGGCAACAGGCCATCGGGGAGACCACTTAGGGCCTTTGGAAGTTGTAACCCTTTTCTTGGTTTAATGATGATGTTAGCCATATTTCAACTTGTCCCATAAATATATATAGATACACATACGCACACCTATCAGGATTCACACTACAAAACAGGGTTGGCAAACTTTTTCTGTAAAGGGCCAGATAATAAGTAATTTAGGGTTTATGAGCTTGGTGGTGTCTGTCACGATTACTAAACTTTCCCATGGTAGCCCCAAAGCAGTCATTGGTAATGGGTAAATGAAGGACCATCACTGTGTGCTGATAAATATTTACCCATAAAATGCTGAAACTGCCCACATGCACACAAAAAAGGATAGAAATTTACTTACAAAAATAGATGGTGGGCCAGATTTGGCTCACGGGCCATCATTTGGCATCCCCTGCTAGGAACAGTGGCTCTACATTGATAAACCAGAGGAGTGCAGTGCATATATGTTACATATGTCATGTATATAGCATGCGTAAAGATCATATGCAGAAAGGCTTTCAATCCTGAGCAGAGGGATGCACTTGCGTGAACGCGCAGGACCCACCCGAAGCGACCTTCCTCACCTCCTCTTGCAAAGCCGATCATTATATCCGCCGTCCCCACTAAAACTCTCCTGAAGGAAAGCGGGATCTCTCGGCTCCACATCCTCAGGGCCTTTGCCACTAGTTGATTCACAATGACACGCGGCAGGTCTGGCGTGTACGATACGACCCTGGTAGCAGACGAGAAAACAGAGTTGGGCCTTAGGGGGAGGGCTTGGCTGTGTTTGCCGAGGCGAGCCCCGGGGACGAACCTGTAGGTGACCACTCTGGAAATCCACTTTGGCTGGGTTGGGAAGAGTGAGTACTCTGCGATGTCTGGGACCCCACATCTGGGCTTCTGCATTATTTCTATGACACGGGAGTTCAGGACTCCGGTCACCGGCAGACGGAAGAACCTCTGCATCAGCTTGAGTCTGGCTTCGAAGCTGTCAGCCTCCCTCGATTCTGAGTCAGGTGGATAAAACCTCTTGAGATAGTCCTGTTGGAAAGAGAGGGATTGCTCTGTCATCTTCTTTACTGTCTTCTTTTTAGATCGCAGAAGGCTGTGCATCTTTGGATTCCTGTGGGCTCAAGTTGTGGTGTGAAGGTAGCTACGTAGCCACCAAGTGAAACAAGTGTGCATTAATGAGGAGAAAATTTAATATTGATAAGGATGCATTGTCATTCCATTTCATGAGCCAAAGGGTCCCTCCATTTCCCTTTTATCCAATTAAATGTTTTTTTTAGAAGATGATTTTTTTATTTTATTTTAAAGGTTTTATTTATTTGAGAGAGAGAGAGAGATTGAACACAAGCAGGGGGAGCGGCAGAGGGAGAAGCAGACTCCTGGCAGAGCAGGGAGCCCGACACGGGGCTCGATCCCAGGACGCTGGGATCATGGCCCGAGGGGAAGGCAGACGCTTCACCGACTGAGCCCCCCAGGCGCCCCTCTCCCAGTAAATGTTTTGAGGAGAAACCCACGGTACAGTTTATAAAGCACAGACTTGCTTGTAATAGCCAAGCGGGAAGAGCACCCAGCGAGTCGTCAGGGCGCAGCAGAGACCCTGCCCAGAGGTCCAACTCACCCAGCCACACCCGAGATTCTCCAGAGGTCTGGGCCTCACTGAGGTTAATGGGTCTTAAGATTTTAGTGCTGGGAGAAGATACTGTGAGATTATTTTATTAACTTAGCAGCAGAGCTGGCCCTGAGCTCCCTCACTGCCCATTCTGTGGGCGGCAGGACGCAGCCGGTCTCCCAGGCGTGCCCCACTACACCTGGGTCCTGTGACTTTCTCAGGGGGCCCCCCGTGTGTGGACGTGAGGTTCGCAGGGACTGTACCAGGAGCTCAGGTCCTTGTCTCCTTCAAACCTCAAGCTGTGCTGGGACGCAGTGTGGCATTGTCATTCCTGTTTACATATGAAAAGTCGCGGCTCAGACAAGCAAATCCCTGGCACAAGGTCACCCCAAGAGGAACTGCATTTGAACTCGGGTTCTGTTTCCAAAGCCCATTTCATTCGAACAATGGAGAGGGCTCTAGGATGCACGATGGTTTTGTTGGAACGATTCAAACACTGGTGCACACATGTGCCGTCTAATTGCGGTAGGCGGTAAGGTTACTTGTCTCTGAACCTCTCAGGAATGTGCACTTTATGTAAATGACCTTAGTCCTCTCTCTTCAAGGTCCCAGGGATTGTGTTTTGTTCAACATGACAAACACTATTCATCCATGACAATTAGGAATGAATCTGTTATTTAAAAACAAATGAGTCATTTTATCCCTTCCTGAGCTACTGGCTTTACAAAGACACTCTTTTGGAAGAAATCTTTTTGCATTCTTGATATGAACTTTACTGCCCTCTGTTAAACCCAGCTAATGTCTCCCTGGTTTACTGGCAACCTGTGCAGGAAGTGAAGGGACTCAATGCGCTTGCAAATGTACCCCTTTTGGAGAACCTGTTAGATTGGACTTTATGAAATTGCTGTAAATTTCAGGTAAAAAAAAAACACAGTCAGATATCAGTAATTTCATATGGTTCAATCTAACAGATTACTGGGACTTCTTCAAAGTCAACATTAATGTGAAATAAAAGTAGACTTTTCTTATGCTTTAAGCTTAAATTTTTGAACAGTTAGGAGTCAACAACCCATTATTTTACCAAATATTAATTATTTATACTTATTGGGTTGCTTATTAAGAATTGTATTGGAGGGACCATGGCTTTTGAAACCAGAAAAACTTGTCCTTGACTCCTATCACTATCGTTATCAAGTATGTGAATCAACATAACTTCGGCTTTCTCTTTTGCTCGGGATAGCGCTAAAGATTCAATGACATAAGGTATATGAAGCACTTTATGGTCTATGATAGTTGCATGCATAATCGTTGACATTGCCGTCACTTCCTTACTCAGGAGCAGAATCCTGTGAGCTGTGACATGGCATCGCTGTCCCCATTGGGCAAAGCCAGGAGTTCACACCTGCCCATTGTCCCCACCGGCTGGTCAGGGCCCCGCCCGCTGTAACCTCTACCTTGTTTTCTGATTTCAAGCCTCTCCATTGCCAGGAGTCCCCACCTTGAGAGGCAGCACTCAGCCCTCCAGGAAAAGAATCTCGAGTCACAGTAAATAATAACATTAACTACTTCAATTCATTGAGTAGGAAACACTGTTTCAGCTTCTGTGTAAGTGTTCCACAGCACCCCATATCGTCTCCAACCTCCAAGTCAGAATACTGAAGCTCAGAAAAGCGTAATAACGTTCCCGCATTTGTCTACGTAGTGAGGGCAGGAAGAGTTGCAATGTGAGCCCAGTTTGGACAGGCTCTAAAGATGCTCTGGGTTTTGTTTTGTCTTTGTTTTTGTTTTTTTAAGAGAGAGAGAGAGAGAGCGCACATGTGTGTGTAGGGGACAGAGAGAGAGAATCTCCGGCAGACTGCCCACTGAGCACGGAGCCCAACGCGGGCCTCCATCTCCTGGCCCTGAAATCATGATCAGAGCCCAGATTAAGAGTCGGATGCTTAACTGACTGAGCTGCTGGGTCAGCCTGCTCTTCACAGCTACTTGATTAAAACATCTATCCTCAAAGAAACCACCCAACTGAAAATCACACTTGCTCATGCTGATGGTGAGGCGGGGAGTCCCCCGGGGCGCGGGCCAGGGACGTACCTGAGCGTGTCTCCACTGTGGCTCACTCACGCCACCAGCCTCCCTGGGGAGAGGCCAGGCCATCCTGCGGGGCAGTAGGCACAGGGCACACAGCACGGTGGCCAGCCCCATCGCTGCTGTCCCCGGGTGGGTCTTCCCGGGCCGATGGCCGGTCTGCGGAGCCTGCCGGAGCCTACAGACACATATATAGCTTCTCAGCCCTGAATGTGGAAATAGGTGACTCATTTGAGTGTTTTCTTTCTTTTCAGTGTCTACAGAACTTTGGAAGCGTGTGTTATTTTTCATTAATGGCAACAAGGAAGTTTGATGTCCTTATTGGCAGGAAGCACACAGTGTATTTGCCTTTCAAGGGATTTTTTTTTTGACCCTGTTTGCTGTATAAATTTAACTCATTTTATTTTGTCAGAATCAAACTGCTACTCAGACATGTCTTCATAATTTAAAATTTTGGGGAGCATAATTCGGGACATACTGTACCATGCATCTTAAAAGAATTTTTAAAAATTTTGAAATGCATGAAAAAATGCATAAGACATACAATCAAATAACTATGAAGTAAACATTCTGTAACGGTCTCTAAAGTCAAGATTTGAGTCCAACTCCTTTATTTTTATCAAAGATGAAGTTGAAGCCAAAATGACAGATTCGTTTATTTCCCCAGTGTCACAGCTAGGTGAGAGTAGTCCTGACTCCCAGTCCAGAGCTGCCTCTCCATTGTGTCATTATATTATGCATTTCCCAGGAGAGTCCCGTGGATTTGAACTGTATTACATCATGGGAAACACGCCAGATATGCTGGAGCTGAAAAATTTACTTATTCAAATATCTCCTAAATCATCTGGGGATTGGGTGCTGTGACTTAGCAAAAGTAAGCTTTCCAGAGCAATAAATTAAATTTGCTCTCTTTACATAGATGCCATACTTCTGGATCATCACAGTTCGGCTGTACTTGAGAACCTCCTACCTTTAGCCAGCATGTGGTATGTAACAGGTGCACAATGCGTGTTTATAGAATAAATGAATTACTTATAGATTGGATCAGCTAATATGGGTTTTATGAGGTTTTCCATGATCTTTCACTGAATTAAAGTTCAAAGGCATTCTCTAGATATTATATTTTCTGTTTCTGTTAATTTTAGTAATTCAAAGAGCACTAGATATTACAAATATTTTAAATAAGTTTGAGTAACTCCCTTGAACAGTCACATCTGGATAGCAAGAAAGAAATCTTTTCTTGTCTTGTTCCCCAGAATTGTAATTAGTGAAAAATGAACAAACAGGATCAAGTCCCTGTCCCTGCCTATAGAAGCTTATATCCTAGAGTGGGGGTGCAATGGGACAAATGCTTGTAGTAGGCAATGTTACCAAGGATGAGGAACAGCTAATCCTTCCCATGGGAACTGAGGAATGATCCATGGAGGAGGTGACATTTTAGCTGGATTTGAGAGGATAACTAGATGTTCCCCCGCGTAGGCATTATAGGTAGAACACTCGGGAAAGGAAAGAAGACATGATGAAGAACGGGCTGTTGGTGTTGCTGGGAGGTGAGTGGCTGGGAAAGGATTTTGGGTTCAGGTTGTGAAGAGCCAGTCTTGTCTGCTAGGGGCTTTTGACTTTAATCCTAAACAGTGTCAAGGAATGTTTCAAAGGAAGAAAGTAGCATTATCAGATTTGTCATGTTGTAAGTAAATGTTGGTGGTGGTTGTGAAGACGGAAAATAATGCTTTTTTTATTGTAGTAAAATATGCATACTATAACATTTACCATTTTCACCATTTTAACTGTGCAGCTCAGTTGCATTAAGTACATTCATGATATTGAAAAACCATCACCAATATCTATTTCCAGAGCTCTTTTAATCATCCCAAACAGCAACTCTATACCCATTACACGATAACTCTTTCCCTCCCCGGTTTTCCTAGCCCCTGGTAATCTCAATTCTACATCCGTCTCTATGAATGTGATTATTTTATGCATATGAGTTTATTCATATCAGAGTTGTCCTTTGGTGTACGGATTATTTCATTTATCAAAATGTCCTCAAGGTTCATCCATGTTGTAGCAGGTATCAGAACTTCCTTCCTTTTTATGGCTGAATAATATTCCATCGTATGAATGTATCACATTTTATTTATCCACTTATCTGTCAACATCTTGGGTTGTTTCCACTGTTCGGCTATTGTGAACAATTGTGCAGTGGTCCTCAGTGTACAAATATCTGTTTGAGTCCCTGTTTTCAATCAGTTTGTGCAAATACCTATGAGTGGAATTGCTGGGCCATGTAAGAACTCTATTATAAATAGATTAAATTCTTGAGGAACCACCAAATGGTTTTCTATAGAGACAGCATCATTTTACATTCTTGCCAGCAACATAGGGGATTTCAGTTTCTCCACATCCTCATCAACATTTGTTATTTCCCGTGTTTAAAAACTTTTCTTTTTTTAAATTTTTTTTATTATGTTAATCACCATACATTACATCATTAGTTTTTGATGTAGTGTTCCATGATTCATTGTTTGTGCATAA